GCCCGTAAAATGGGATTAATGAAATAACTTTTGGGTAACTGTGAGGATTAAATGAGTCAATCTGCACAAAATTATCTAGAACATTCTCTGGCACGTAGCTATCCAAAAATGATCCACCTACAGGGGATCCTTTCTAATAGACACTTGAGGAGGTCTTTTACCACCACAGTGCTGCAAGACATGTCCTTGTTCACTTGTCCTCTGGCACAAGTGCAAGAATCTCTGCGGGACAAATACCTGGTGGAGGAATTGGTGGGTCAAGCAAGAGTGCCCTTGGATTTAATTATATTTGGATGAACCAGCCTCACAGCTGGGGGCAGGGGGATGATATCCACAGAGGACTGTGGAGGAAAGGAATGAAGGGTTCCGTCCCTGAAGTTCAGAGGATGTGGTGGCTCCCCAGGTCCCTGACCAAGCAGATGGAGGTTTTAATTTTATCTAGATTGTCCCCATAAGAGTTTTTTTTTTTTTTTTTTTTTTGTCTTTTTCGTTTTTATCGGTACCAGGGATCGAACTCACGACTGCCTGCTTGTAAGGCAGGCGCTTATGCCACTGAGCTAAATCCCCAGCCCCCCCATAAGAGTTTTTACAAGGAATTGGTTGATAGGATTAGAGGAGCAGGGGCCTCTAATGAGCAGTGGCTGCTTTATAAAATGCTGAAACACACAATATTCCTTCGCCACCATCCTCTAGCGCAGCATCAGATACTCAAAAGGCCCCGTAGGATACACCCCGACCGGGTTCTGCTTCCTTAAACTCTTTCTGGGGCCTGGACATACCAGAACAACCAGGAGAAAACAGGGTGGTGAGAGGACAGATTTTCGGTAAGCCAGAGATTCGCCCACATTACTGTGCTCTTGAGGACATTCATTTCTGCGCCTCAGAGAATAACAGAACCTAAACTCACTGGGCTGTTGTGAAGACTGAAAGAAATCGAACTTTGAAAGTGCTTGGCGCAGTGCTTGGCACAAGATGAGCGCCTATAAATGGAGGTCCAGAAGCTAGGGTGAAGAATGAGCCAGCTAGCCTGGATTCAACCCCAGAAGGCCCAGGGAGCCAAACACCCATTTATAGCCTCCTGCCCCCCTAGTCTAAGGGGAGCAGCAACTGTGCCAACCATCACCCAGGGAATGCTCCAAATTCCAACCCCCGAAACACACACACATGTTGGGTTGTTTCCCAGTAAGGGCTAAGCCCTTGCGGGAGGTACTTGTCTGGCTTTGCATGAGACGCAAAAGGGCAAAGTGAGGGTGGGACCTCACGGATGGGAAGGAGCGAGTGGACCCAAAGGAAGTTTCCCAACCCCCAGCAACCTCCCTGCCATGTAGGATCTGGTTTAGGATCTACTCCAAGGAATCCCAGTATTGTAAGAAAAGCAATAATAGCATCTGCCCCTATCGATCCAGGCGGTAGACAATCGATGAAGGCCACAGCCCGGGATCAGACAAACAGGATGAGGTTCTCCGCCAGCATGAGTCATGCTGGGTGACTTCACCTCCGAGCCTCAGCCCCGTTTTTCCCCTGAAGCGGGGGTGGCGCTCTGCGGCGTGGCTGGGTACAAAACCGAGGGGAGCGACCCAGGCCACCGCCCCGCGGCTCTGGAGCAGGCGCAGGGCTCGGGGCTCGGGGCTCGGGAGCCGCCGCCTCCACGCCCCCGTGGGCGGATTCCCCGCGGCCTGCCGGCGGGACGGCTGATTGCAAACAGCCGCCGGCCTCATTAGGAGACGTGTAATTAGCTGCGGGGGAGCCCGAGCCGCCGAGGCTAGTCACTGCGCGGGGCGGCGACGCCCGCCGCCGCCGTCTGCACCTCGCGGGACCGGGCCCGGCGCAGGACCCGGAGCCGGACCCGCGTCCGCACCTCTTCCGGCGGGAGCCAGGCTTTCACCCGGAGCTGCGATTCTCATGGGCTCGCTGCGCCCGGCTGTGTCCACGGAACCCCGCTTCAACTGCCATCCTAATCATTCCTCGCAGAACTGTGTTGTCCTGCTGCACGGACCCGGACGCGGGGACCTAGAGACGGGAATTAATGTCCCCGATAGACAGTACCTGGCTAGCGAGTGACCGGCTGGATGGTGGTGGTCTCCAGCCGTAGGGGACGGGGAAAACGGACAGTGCGGGACCGGACACGCCTGGACCTCAACAAGGACTCGAGTTGCTTTGGGGTCCCCTTACTGGCTATGTGATTGGTCTGGCCCCAATTGCATCTGTAAAATGGTTACGCAGTTGGGATTTAGGAAATGAAGGCAGGGAAGGAGGGTTAGAGGCATTTTTAGGCGTTTTTAGGTGCTCGGAGGCTGGGTGGTAAGCTCTCCTCTCTGTATAGGCCCTTGGCGTCCCCTGCTGGCCAAGGAGGACGCTGGCGACAGTGTTTGTGGATAATAAGATGATTCTAGGGAGAAAGAACAGTAATTGGTCCCTTAGCAGGGTCACTGCGCCACCACTTTCCTCCTTTTCTTCCCTTTGGAAGATCAAAGAGAGTGAGCCATAGGGAAATTGAGAATTCATTCTAGATCTTGCACATAGTTGTGAACGCTGCCCCCTTTCCTGGGCTGCAAAGGGTCAGCCATTGGAGAGCCTTATACAATTCTCATCATGGGTAGGAATGAAGACTTAACTATAAGAACGTGCATCAAAGTAACAAGAAAATCTAGAAATAATTTAAAAGTCTGCATCAAGGAGATACTAACTTAATAGTGGCATATCCAAACAATGCAACACTGCACAGGTGACAACATCATAGCAGATAACTGACATGAAAATATAGTCAAACAGGAATGTCTTACAATTATGTTGTGCAAAATAAGCCAAAAACAAAAAACAGCACTCAGGAAGCTGAGGCAGGAGGATCACTGCAAGTTTAGACCACCCTGGGGTACAAAGTGAGCCCAAGGCCAGCCTGAATTGCATAGCGAGACTCTGTATCTCAAAAACAAAAAATTATGCTGTAAAATACTGATATAAAGTTCAAGAATAAGCAAAACTAATCTATTGTGATAAAAGTCAGACTAGTCTACTTCTAGTAAGGGTTTTGAACAGGAAGAGAGTTTGGGGCCCTTCTGCAGTTTTGAAATGCTCTCTGTATCTCAACCTGGATGGTGGTTACACAAACCCACACATTTGGAAAAATCCACTGAGTTTAAGATTATGCACTATTTATATATGTTCTTTCCCAATAAAATATTATTAGATATTTAAGTAAAAAAGGAAGAAAAAGAGAGTACTAAATAGTGTGATTCTCTAGTACTGTGTATGTGGGGCGGGGGGTGTAGTGGGGATTGGACCCAGGACCTTCACAATGAACTATACTCAAGCCTTTTGAATTTTTTAAAATTTTGAGATAGGATCTTACTTAGTCACTAAATTGCCCAATCTGGGCTTGAACTTGCAATCCTCCTGCTTCAGCCTGTGGATCACCATGTTTTGATCTTCTATTCCTTTTTAAATTAGAACATGTTTGCAGTACACAGTGATTACATCGTGGGGAATTGGTATAGCTTTACAACACATTTAACTCTTCACAACTATTTCCTTTCTCTCCCCCCCCCCATCCTCTAGTCTTGAAAAGGAAAACCATAATTTAACATATGGCACAGTTCTCAAACTGTTTTGTCTCACAACCCATTTAAACTCTGAAATTGAGGATTCCAAAACCACTTTTGTTTTTGTGGGTTATATCCATCAATATTTACCACAGACTTAAAACTGAGAAATGAGGGAACCGAGAGATGGAGGAAGTGAGGGTAGGAGGGAAGGGAAAGGAAAAAAGAATTAAGATGTGTTACGCATATATACCAACTCACCACGAGGAATGTGAGCACCATTTACTCCAAATATGTACCAATACAAATTTTTTTAAAAAATTAAAAACACCAAATATTTGAAATACAATATACTGGGCTAGGGATGTAGCTTAGTGGTACAGCACCTGCCTAATGTAAGTGCAAGGCCCTACGTTCAATCCCCAGCACCGCAAAAACAAACAAACCACATAATATACAACTACAAGTGGGCATGATGGCTTATGTCTGCTATGAAGAAGCCTGAGGCAGAAAGATGGCAAATTCAAGCTCAGAGTGGTAACTTAGTGAGATCCTGTCTCAAAATAAAAACCCAAAAGCCCTGGAGTTGTAGCTCAGAGGCTACAACTAGTCTAAGGGGAGAATGTCTCTAGGTTCAGTCTGTAGTATCCTCCCCACCCAAAATACAAAACAAAACCCCCACAGTTCCACTGGAATAACAGCAATGTCACATATCACACAGCCTCTGGAAAACTTTATTGCTCATTCTTAGAGAATTAAAATGGCAAACAATATCTTATCATTATAAATTAACTCTGAAGTGTAGGGATTCCCTAAACAGAGTCTTGGAAATATCCCTAGGCCACACTTTGAGAACCGCTGACATGGGGAAAAATGAAAGACGAAAACACACTTTATAGCAGGTGCTTTCTCTCAATGTTGGTATTATTTTTATTTGCTCTTTTGTGTTTTCTGCCAGAAAAAAAAAAAGATTGGCAAATGAATGACCACATATTGTTTGTGCATATAACAAAAACGTACCAATCACCCAGCTTCATAAGACTACTGAAAGGCCCAAGCAGTAACAGCATATTTGGTTATAAAGAAGAAAAAACGAGCTCTAACCTTATAAAAAGGGTGAGATTTCTCTTGAGTGTCAGTCCTTGGGCTTCAAATGCAGAGGTCTTGAGCTCAAAAGTTTTGCTATGTAGCTTGGAGAAAAAATACAAGTACGTACCTACATAACTCAAATGCAGCAGCAGCTTGCGGGTATTGTAAACTCCAGCACGGAGCAGAAACGCCCACCACCATCACAAGCCACTCCATAACCAAGCCCAGCCCCGACACAACTAAATTTAAGACTCTTGCAAGAACGCATGCGCCCTTAAAACTCAGAGGGAGGCGGAGCTTGGGAGAGACTGACGCAGGGTTCGTCCTCTCATTTTTCTAGCTCCGCCTCCATATTCTGCCTTCCTCTCTGAGTGGCTTCAAGGCTGTGGAGGCGAACTTCCCATTGGTCGGGAGCAGACACGCGCTGCGCATGTCAGGCCGACTGGCACTAAGGCAGCAGCAGCCATGGTGCGGTTCAAGCACAGGTAAGTTGCTTCCAGCCCCTCATCACCAGCAGTTATTCACGACCCCAGCTTGCGCTCAGCTTCCTCTGGCCCCCTCAGGTACCTTCTGTGTGAATTGATGTCGGACGACCCCCGCTGCCGTCTAACTCTGGACGACAGAGTACTGGGCAACCTCGTACGAGACACTATCGCCCGAGTGCACGGAACTTTCGGCGCCGCCGCCTGCTCGATCGGCTTCGCAGGTGCGAGAGCCCTGGGGAACCGGAGTGGATGACCTGTTTTGGAAGGGCAGGCACTGTAAGAGGGAGAAAGAAGGGGCCCAGGAGACTCCTAGAGCGGCCAAACCTGTGCACCATCTTCTGTGCTATAGTGGCGATTTTAGGCCCCCGGGACCCGAGCGAAGGTCTAAATTTGGGCAGAATTAAGAACAGGAGCCTGGGAGCCGGGGATTTAGCTCGGCGGCATAAGCGCCTGCCTGTTAAACACGAGGTCGTGACTTTGATTCCAGGTACATCCCCAGCACCCCTTCCCCCCAAAAAACATAGAAAAGGTTCTTTCACACCAGGGGTTTAGCTCAGCGATTAAAGCACTTGCCTGGTAAGCCTGAGGTGGTGAGTTCGAGCCCCAGTACCAAAAACAAAAAGGGCCCTAAGGCAGGACTTTGTTTGTTTTGGTACCGGATTTTGGACAAAAGTCTTCACTATACCTATTTGACGCCTGTATCGTGGGGATTACTATTGAATTTAATGGGATAATTGAGAGAATTCGTGTATATATTTAATAAGGTTTGTAATTTGACCGGTTACATCAACATCACATTTAAAAAAAAATACATGTTGCCAAAATTGCCCCGTAAAAAGGCCTTTGAGCCAGGGTTAGTGGCATATGCCTGTAATCCCAACCCAGGAGGCCGAGGCAGTAAGATCCTTGTGAGTTGGAGGCCAGCCTGGGCTCCATAATGGGTCCAAGGCCATCCTGAACTACACAGCAAGACCGTGTTTAAAAAAATGGCCTGAGAGTCATAAAGTACTGAATGCATGGTTGTGTATGTGTAAACGCTGATAAACTGAAACTGACAGCAACCAGCACCTTACACACTTTTAAATTAGTACTTTCTTTTACCTTAAGTTTAAGCCTGAATCCTGAAAAATTACATGAAGCAGGCATAACTCCCTCATGTCAGATGAGACTCGGCTTGCTATTAAGAACCTATAGGGCCCAGCTGCAACAAAACCACTAGTGTTTTAAAAATTTTTCCCTCTGCTGAATGAAGATTAATCTCCTCATTCACCTCGTTTAAAGATTATGAGTGTATTTAAGTCCAAAATTAACCCACCAGACCTGATTGATGTGTGAGGGACTGGCCCTCCACAACCATGGCTTGTCCCAAAATTTTTTTTCCCCCCCTTTAGAAGTCTTTTTACTGATGCATCCTCTGAAATGCCACTTAACTGCTGGAGCAGTCTGTCCCATACGCTGTTTCCCTGAGATTTTTAACGTGCTTATGTGACTCTGTTTTCCAAAATGAGTTTTTCATTTTGCTGCAGTTCGATACCTTAATGTCTATACTGGAATAGTGCTACTTCGATGCCGGAAAGAGTTCTACCAGCTTGTGTGGTCAGCTCTTCCTTTCATCACTTATTTGGAGAATAAAGGACACCGCTATCCTTGTTTTTTCAACACGTTGCACGTGGGAGGTAGGAGCAGCCTAGGTGGGTGGGTCTTCCTGCTAGCCCACTAAGAACAAGATACTTTTCCTCAGCTTCCAAAGTATTTTAGAGAGCTTTCACAAGCTACTGATCACCCCAAAAACTTTCCCATGCCAGGTACAATTAGAACATGTCAGAAGTTCCTGATTCAGTACAACCGGAGACAACTGTTGATCTTACTGCAGAACTGCACTGATGAAAGTAAGTGATGTTAGTCCACTGCCCACCGGTGATGGATGTCACTCCCAAACGTCTTTCATCTCTGCTCTGCCTTTCTCCAGGACAGCGAGAAGCTATCCAGAAATCTGTTACCAGAAGCTGTTTAGTAGAGGAGTCGTCTGGTGAGGAGCTTTCAGACGGTGGTGAGGAGGCCGCAGAGACAATGGAGTGAATTCTGCTTGTTGCCCGGGGTCCACACTAGTGGGACTGGGCATTCTAGGGGGCAGAAGCAGCACTTTTTTACTTCTCCAAACTGGAGGGCTCCCAACTAGAGGACCAATGGACTAGCTTGACACGGAAGACAAACTAGCTTCCTCTGTCTTCAATCCCCTGGGTAAATGGTAATGCAGACTCTATAAACTTTGTATCTGAATGCTTGGATGAAAGTAGGCTGAATAAATGTAGTTGGCTTCTATAACCTTCAACATCAAGTTAAAAAATGGCATTATGGTTTGTAACCCCAAAACCCAAAGTGCTCATACAAGGGGCTCTTGGGAGTATGAGTGATACTTTTTTTTTTTAATTAAAAAAAAAGATTAAGATAAAAGAGGACATAACAGGTCAGAACAGTTTGAGCAACATAGTGGTTCACCACAAGACAATCTGACATAACAGTAGCTACCACAGTGTCTCTTTGTTTGAAATAATATACCTTCATATACTATAGTATCAAACATAAAAAGACAGTGTAAAACCATTCAAGAGAATGAAAGTATTACACAGTATTCAGAATCAACTAACAGAAAACAACAAAGGTTACTGTATTATCTCCTTGTCTATAAAATATTTTGTTTATACTATCACATATAATCAGTCCACTTGTTTATAGCTAGACGGGGTATTAGGAGGTGAAGTGTGAGCCAGACAGGGATCACGAGTGAATTTGGGAAGTGTAATCTACTCACCTCCTTCTTTAATGTTTCAAGGCCATGCCTCCCTGCTTTGAAGCCAGCCTAATATGGACTGAAACCTCTACAAACTGAGCTAAAATAAACCTTTCCTCACAGTTGTGTCTCAGCAACAGGGCTTACAGAATTTATGCTTGTTCAGTTCTCTTTTTCCATCTACAATAGCCCTGGCCTTGGTGAGAAGACTGTGTGATGAACTTTAAATACTCAAGTTATCTCACTTCAGGCTTTGTATCTCCAACCTCCAACCTGGACTCTAAGCAAGACAAGTCATTTGTAGTATACCTATTAGTAAGAAATAGCAACTAAATTTTGGACATTATCTATTTGTAGTTTCAGGGTTTTGCTTTTGGGGGGAACTGAGGTTTTGAACACAGGACCCTCACACTGATACCTGCCCAGTCTAGACTCAAACTTGTGATCCTCCTGCCTCCCAGTGTTGGGATTACAGGTGTGTACCACCATGCCTGGACTAGTCTCAGCAAATTAAGTCCCCAAATTACAAACATCTGAGTTGTGAACTTTCATAGGTTTACTTTGCAAGACACACTTTGTCGGCTTATGAATCAGACTTCTTAACACCACCCAGAACACTACCTGTTCCTAAGTCAGGGACTTACCATATTGATCTGTAGGGCAGTAATGGCAACTTTTATAGCTTTCAATGATAAAAAACAGCTTACTGTGGCACATGTGCCATAGGTTTAGTATCACTGCTACAGGGCTTTATGCATACTTTTTTTTTTTTTTAAAATGGTCTTGCTATGTAAGTTCAGGCTGGCCTCAAACCTGCAATGATCTGAATGCTGGAATCACAAGTGTGTACCACCATTCCCAAAACATACTAAGTTCTTTTTTTAACTTACAACCTCACACTTGCCAGGCAGGATGAATCTCCAGCCCTCTTGTTAAATTTTTATACTTTTTTACCAGGATTTAACTGAGTAATTTTAGCTATCTCAGGCTGAGGCATGAAAATTGCAAATTTAAGGTCAGTCTGCATAATTTAGCAAGACTCTGTCTTAAAAGGGGCTAGGAATGGAACTCAAGTATGAGGCCTCAATCCCTAGTACCACCAAAAAAACTTTTTTGGCATCTCTAAGATTTGTTTTTCTGTAATGAAAATATGTCAAAATATTTTACTATCTGTAAAGACCTGTGATATTGTGCTCCTTATCTCAGAAATGGAACACTTTCTGGAGTTTCTGACCCAGACCTTCTGAAAAATGGAAAGTTAAAGCTCCACTCAGCTTTGGGCCTGACACCAAAGAAAACAGTTCATAGTAACAGAATTGCTCAAACTCACAGTAGCTGTTATTTAAACCTCAAGTTAAGAACTGATGTCTCTAACTGAATGAACTTTAAAAAACCAAGAAGTTCACATTATTTTTGCATGTAATTTATTGCAACTGTGCTTTTACATTCTATTACACCTAGAGGTCAATTTATTAAGCAGCAAAAGAATTGACATCGCTCAAACTCAGCTGAAACCAAGACATAAGAAAGCTGCTACAGACAAAAAAGAGGCACACCTCCAGGTGTGCTAGAATCCTGTTTCTACAACTCAGGCCACTATCACTTAAGCTTCATCTGAGTAAAGGGTAGCAGGTGTTAGTGATGGTTATAAATTTCCCTTACCAAAGCCAGGTTCAAGAGGCAAAACTCCTTTCACATGTGGTGGGGATTGAATCCAGACCTTCACAATGAGCTACATCCTGTCTTTTTTTTTAATAAATTTTTTTGGTCTTTTTTTTTGTCGGTACCGGGGATCGAACTCGTGACTGCCTGCTTGCAAGGCAGGCGCTTATGCCGCTGAGCTAAATCCCCAGCCCCCATCCTGTCTTTTTTGAGACAGACCTTCACTAAGTCACTAAACTGCCCCAGCTATGCTCAAATTTGCACTCCTCCTGTCTCAACCTCCCAGTGTTGGGATTATGGGTGTGTATCACCACACCCAGATCCAGATCCTATTTCTTAGTAAGAGAAATGGATAGGAAAGAATGACTGCAGTTTTGGGGGTTTTGGTCTTTTTTGAGACAGAGTCTATGTAGCCCAGGCTGGCCTCCAACTTGTAGCAATCCCCCTGCCTCAGCACCCCTACCACACCAGTGCCAGGATTATAGGCATGCACCACCCTGCCCAACTGACACAGCTATTGAAACAAACTGATGGGTGCACTAAGAGACCAGGCTGCCATAGTAGAGCAGTGCTAAGCCGCTAGTTTGGGCTGCTCCAATGGATGCTAAAGAGGCTCAAACTTACTTTGAATTGAGACAATTACTATAAATGACTGCCAGTATACTATCTGTAAAGACCAGTATAAAAGACCACGAATGGTCACAAACTAAAAATCTTGGCAGGAAAAGATCTGAGTGTCAATACTTTATTTTGGTGTAAAGACGGGAAGCTGGAAAATACACTGTATTTAAAATTGGCTTGGTTCCCCCTCACATTGTGGACACCCCCTCCCCCCGCCCAAGCTAATCTGTTCAAACTCAAAATACTTAAAAATTACAGCAGCAAAACAAAAGCATGGAAAAAAAGAAATCCAAATGAAAAGGTAGCCTGGGCCAGTAGTGTCACTTGGTATGCACGACTGAAGTGCTGAACAGGAGCTTCTGTTTCTGTTTTTTCCTTTTCTTTCCGCCTTTCTCTTCTAAAAGGAAACAGAAAGAGAGCTCACTTAGCTGATGGTGTTACCCCTTCTCCCCAGGTCTTTTCATTATTAAGAGTGTGCAGGCCCTGAAATTAGACTGCCTGGATTCAAATACCAGCTGTAGCATACACTGTATTGTCTTTGGGCAAGTTGCTTTACCTCCCTGCACTTCAGATTATACCTAGTTTGGTTCTGGGAAAATAAAATCAGTAATATGCTAGGCATATAAAGCACACCATAAACATATCATGCTTGTCTAATTGTCATGAATCACTATCCTAACAAAGATTCTAATGTACATGCAGGATCATCTTATTGAGGAAGAGAGCTCCTCAGTATTTCATTTCCAGGTTTCAAGAATTAATCTTGGATAGTAAATAGATCCTGTATGACCAGCATACCAAGTGGAACATTACCTGACACTCAAGTTTATGTTGAAGACTGAGGCCTAGAGACTCAGAGGGGAAACAGCCTGACCAATCCAGGTGTCCACTGGATGCAGGTGGCAATGATAGTACATGTGTGGCAAGTTTAAAAGCCCTACGCTGAGCACTCCAGTTCTCTGCCTTTACCAGAGAGGGGATCTGAAGTAGCTGGTGTGTCCAGTTTCATAAAGGCTGCTTCAATAGCCTGGCTGAAGGAATTCTGGAAACTGGGCACAGGAACACGATCAGAGTTATCACTCTCCCCATCACTGTCCACAGGGGCAGGAGGAACTAAGCTGTTCTCATCTGAAAAACAAACCAGTGTTGTAATCTAGAAACCACTCTTATAAGCTGTTAATAAAAGGAGCCAAACTTACCGTTCACTAGCAGGCCTGCCTCACCTTTTTTTAGAGCAGTTTTGGGCCACACATCTGCTTTTGCTTTTCCAACACGCAGCATCTGCCAAAGGGGGAAGAAGGGGTGAATTTAAGAGTCTTTCAACTTTTTTCCTAGATGCATATCTTGCTACTAACTGGTTAGGCTAGGGGCAGGTTATGGTTTGTGTCTAGATGTCCCCCCAGAGCCTCAGGCACTTTTAGATGGGGTTCAGGACCTGAAGCTAGAGTTTGACTGACTTGTAGTGGGGGTGAGTGCTATACCTGCCCTACAGTGGGTATCCTGCATACAATATAAGGACAGAAAGGCATGCCCTCTCTGCTCCCTGCTGCTTTTGCCGTTTTCTGCCACCATGAATTGTTGCTCCTCTGCCATGTGCTACTGCCTTGCAGCCAGTCAATTATGGAGTACTTCCACAAACTATGAGCTAAATAAACCTTTCCTTCTTTAACTTTAGATACTGGTATTGTGATCCAGTAATGAGAGAAAAGTAACTAAGGCAGGGCACAAAACCAAACACCACATTTGAAGATTTGCCAAGCACTTCTTACCGTGACAGTCATGTCCTCTATAGTAGTGCCTTTATTCATGAACACTTTTGTTTGTGAACAATTTGGTTTACAAACAGAAGTATTTGGCAAAACTTTTTGTAATCTCTGTGTCAAGTGACAAACATGACTGCAGCCATCTTTGCTAGAATCATGGAACTAATTAAATTTGTAAACCAAGGTATCACTGTACATAGCAATGAGTGGAAATGACAGTGCATCCCATAAGGTGGTAAAGCCTAAACTGATCTGTTCCTTAGGAAACAGATACAGACACTGCGCCTCAGGCTCTCAAGTTACCAACACTAACTTCAATAAAATTTCCTGCCTTTCTTCATAACCTCCCTAAAACCATCAACCTGTTGGAATAAATATGTGTAGTACCCTGAAATTTTTTTTTAACTTTTTTTTGGTACCGGAGATCAAACTCACAACTTTGTACCTGCCAGGCAGGCACTTAGGCTGCTGAGCTAACTCCCCAGCAGTACCCTACAATTTTAAAACAAACTATGTGAGTACTGAACTCCAGTAATTAAAAACTATATCCTGAAATAGCCCAATATCATACATTACACTCTTGTAGCCTTTGCTTTTCCAATAGCTCCCTAATCATTAGTTTCTAGATTCAGTCATAGGCCAGTAAAACCACAGTAATTCTGCCCTTGAACTATCTTGATCTATCCTGGCAAAAACCAGCTTTTCAGTTGTTGTAAGTTCCATCTGCCAAATATGCCATGCAACTCAGAGCAGGGTGCATTATACTCCTGAAAATTATTTTAAAAGAAAAAAAGGCTTCCCACAGGATTCAAGTAAAAATACTAAAGTGAGGTGTGCATGTTAATTCAAGATGAGTTGGGCTGACAGACATTGGTTTCACTGAATAACCTTCCTTCTAATGTAACCCCCATGGTACTTGAGAGTACAGGTACAAACAATATGACATCTGAATCATCTCTACAGTTCCTCTCACTCCCAAATCTGGAGCTAGGGAACAGTGACTCTTGTATGCTAGGCAAGCACATACCCAGCTTACTTTCCCCTTTTAAATTTTGGCAGGATTTCACTTAATTGTCCCAGCTGGCCTCAAATTTATGAGCCTTCTACCTCAACCTCCCAAGTAGCTGGGATCATAGGTGTGCACCACACCTGGCTTAAATCATCTTACTTTTAAGAGGTGATTATAGCATGTGACTTTTGCTCTACTCTTACCAAAAGTATTTTAAATGTTTAACTTGAACCCACTTGTGAGGAAAACAGTGAGACAGATCCAAACTGTACCACACTATGAAATCTTTCATAAAATGACAGGCCTGTATGCTTCAAAAATATCTACTTGAGAAAGGGGAGAGACCAGAGAACTGTTGTAAACCAAGGAAGCCGAACAGATGTGACAACTAAATAAGTAATTTGATTTTACGTATATTTTTTATATATATATACACACACATATATAAACTAAGTACACAGACAAATAAGGAAACAAAAATGTGTACTACATTGGATATTCTGGCAGCTGAATTTCTTAGGTGTAATTTTTGTTTTGTTCTGTGGTGCTGGGAAACTGGACCTGTGCCTCACTCATGCAGGGTATTATCCTCAGGCTAGAGAATGATTTCATTTGATATGTAGCTCCTAAGTACTCAGTAGTGCAGTGCCACTGTGTCTGAAACTTTGTATACAAAATAAAAGGCATATAGCAAACAGTACAAATTGGTGAATCCAGGTGAAATGTATGAATGTTCATAGTACTATTTTTTGAACTCTTTAAATTTGGAGTTTTTCAAAATAAAGCTGAAGGAAAAACCATGGCAATAAAATCTGATTTTAAAATTTAAGTATTTGGCATTACTCTTTTCAGTTCTGAAGTACAGTAATTAACTACCAGAACTGCCATCAAATTATTTCGTTTATTTTTCAGTCCTACCATTTTTATACATTATTATAAAATACATTATTAATGTATTTTATACATTTTATATATTTTTATAAAAGTTTGTTTTTCAGTCCTAACTACCATTTTTACATGAGAAAAATCCATGTCAACTACAGATAGTTCCCAACTTAGAATGGCTCAACTTTACAATAGTGCAAAAATGTATCCACCTTTTCTGTTTTTCAGTTTTGATATGTAGTCAATAAAATTACATGAGCAATCCAACATACTACAGTAAAATAGGTTTTGTGTTATAGATGATTCTGCCCAATTATATGCTAATTTAAATGTTCTGAGGATGTTTAAGGTGGGCTAGACTAAGTGATCATGTTCAGCGGGTTAGAAGTATTCAAGTACATTTTCAACTTAAGATGGGCTAATGGGCTTATCAGACCTAACTAAAGAACTTTTTTATCGGTACCAGGGATTGAACTCACGACCGCACACTTGCAAGGCAGGCGCTTATGCCACTGAGCTAAATCCCCAACCCCTAACGAACTTTTAAGGCAATTATTCCAAACTAATCCTACAGAAGACTGACTTCTTACAGAGGCAATTCTCAAGCTATCCATCCACCTTCCTCAGAAGTCTAAAGGCATAAATGCTGAATGTATGTTTGTTATTTGGAGAGACTAATATAGTGGTCTAATATTAAGTCTCACTAGCTTAATGTTTTCCCCACCTCACTCCCTAAGGATGCTGCTTAGGCTGGTTATACATAACCAAGACAACCCTTCTCTTCCTGAACGAGAAACCTGAATGAGAGCTCCCAGAACCTGGGACCAGTTAAAACTAATGTATTCCTAGCTCCTACAACAGTGCCTAATTTACAAGAATATAGTGTAAAAATAAGCAGGTGAGTTTATGCTAAAATATCTTTGGGCTGCTTCACAAGCAAAGTATTTACCTGGGCAAAGGAAGGGAAGGGAGAGTCTTCTTCCAGACTCCCCACGCAGAATGAGGGACTGCCCTGACTGGCAGTGGGTGACAGAGGGGTCAGCAGAAAGTCTGAAAGGAAACCAGAGACCTGATTATATGAATAAAGTTCCAAAGAGCTTCTGTCCTTTTAATAAGAAAGATGAACCCTAAATCAGGTCTGGATAATTGCCAATATTCTTACTCCACCGTAAACCTTAATCCAACCAATTCTGCCATGAATATCACTTTTTTAAAAATATCACCTTTTAACATCAGTGTTCCATGAAGAAAGAAAAAACAACTTCATAGTTATAGTAGCACAAAGAGTCACAGTGGAAGCTAGTCTCACAACAAATGTAAAGCTTTTCTTATGAAATGCTACACTTTCAGGGCTGGGGATTTAGCTCAGCGGCATAAGCGCCTGACTTGCAAGCACATGGTCGTGAGTTCAATCCCCCATACCAGTTAAAAAAAGAAAGAAATGCTACACTTTCCATCATGGAAAGTAAATACTGTTACGGGGACTTGTTTCATACAGCTGGAAAAGCTCCAAGGAAAAGATAAAAATCATGTCAGCTTTTACGTTCCAGCCAGCAGATGTGTATGATCAAGGAGTATTCAATTAGGGTTTAAGAAACACAAAAACTAATGCAGCATAAAGATTCTTCCTAGGTTTAACACTCCTCTTTACATTTTCTCATCTAGAGTTGAACACTGCTCACAGATCAGTCTATGCACTGCTCTGGGCATCACTGAACAAGAGCGGGCTGGTCTTCTGGTCTTCTACCAGTAACAGACCCCTCCATACACATCTGGGGCTGTTTAGTGTTATTCCTAGGACCACCCAGTTGCTCCTGCCTAAATACATTAAAAGTCCATACTTTCAGAAAAGCTAGTATGGGGGGAAAATGGCCTTTATACCACAAGTAATATTATCTGATGATCTACCACATTTTTTCATACAGCAGCTCCCTTCTAAGTGTAAGAGCACTGTGGTTGTATAGTACTCAAGAACTAGAGTCTAGACGCAGTTCCTGCCACTAATTCCTACCTTAGTCTCCTGTTCCCAATCTGTGAAATCACAGGCATATGATCACGAGGTCGCCAAGCGTGTTAAATATTCTGATCTCTGACACATTCTTAAAAATGCCTGACAAACTCAGTCTTTTCTTTTGAGACAAGATCTCGCTAAATTGCTTAGGTTGATCTTAACTCACATTTCCCCCACATCTACCTCTCTAGTAAGCTGAGATTACAGGAGTGAGTGCATGATCACACTCACCTTGAGAAGTCTGAAGTATCAAAATATGTCAGATGGTCAGAAAACAGCTCTCTAGAATCATAGCGAATAATGCTGTGGTTTTTTCCTTTTGCCGTACTAGGGGTTGGACCCAGGACCTTCTCACTGAGCTACATCCCAGGTTCTTTTTTATTTTGAGACAGAATCTGGCTAAGTCACAAGCTGCCCAGCCTAGGCTCCAATTTAGGATTCTTCTGCCCCAGCCTCCCAGAATTCATACAACACCATACCCGGCTTAGCTAGTGTTTCATTTCATGACATTATAATGCATGTATCACTATAATACATTTTCTCTATAAAAGTATAAAACATACAAATATAGAAATACATAAATGTGTGTGTGTATACACACACACACACACACACACATACATACATACATACATACACGTATACATACATATACTTTTTTTTTTTAAAGGGGAAGCAAAAGCGCCAAGGTTCTTTGAACAACCTGTCTGGTATTCTATACACTTATATAAACCCACAACAAAAAGTATTGTTTTGTAGTCCCCCACTCACAATGATTTTTTTTTCCTACAACTTCCTTTTTATCTTTCCACTAGTTCACAGAGTGATTTCCCTCTTCAATAAATGTAAATTATTCCATAGCATCAATACTAATGTAGCCATTTCCTTACTAGTAAGTTGTGTAGGTCATTTCTTTTTTGCTACTATAAATACTACCACGATAAAGAGACACATACAAAGACACTCAAGTATGCAGGGGAAATATCACAAGTCTAAAAACTAGGAATAAGACAGCTGAGCACAAGGAAGAATGTAGGTTTCCTATATTCCTAATGAGCTATCCTGAAGTTTTGAGAAGCTGACTGGGTGTAAGAAATCAGCACAGGGGCCGGGGATTTAGCTCAGTGGCACAAGCATGTGCCTGGCAAGCATGAGGTGTTAAGTTAGATCCCTAGTACCTCCCCACCACCCCCAACAAAAAAAAAAAAAAAGAGAAATCAGCACAACCAATGTGAGAAGGAACTCAAACAACAAGAATTTGATGCAGCTTAGAACTACCCAGAGTAAGATTATTTGCCACAAAATCATACTACGTCCAACAGGTCAGAGTTGTAATGTAGACACTGAGGTTTTACTTTAGGTATTTCAATGGCTGAATTCATTAAACCTCAACTATTTACCTGCATGAGAACCTGGACTTCTGCTAAGAGTAGAAAGGGAGAGGGACCCATGGCCCTCAGTGCTGGTAGGACCCAAAGCAGAATCAGAAGAGCAGGTATATGAATTGAAGGCAGGAAACTGCTGTAGATTCTCCAGGGGAATGTGGACTTCTGGATCTGCAAAAAAAAGGACAGTAATGGCAAGCCATTTATACAATTCCTCAAATTTTTTCCAAAAGCTGAGGACAATCAATATGTACATACTCGAGAACCTAGAAGATGCAAACAGAAGCTTTACACCCAAATTTGTAATAACTGTCATTCTGCAATGTATCTTTAATGAACACGTGCCAAGTGGCTACACAGTGTTGGAAGCTCACATATGTACTTACAGCTAAGCTCTTTCCCTAGCAAGGATGCACACACTCCAGGGACTATGTTCGATCCACAGAGTGAACAGATTGAACACAATAGGGAATGACCGACTGCCCTGGGCACTTTTAGCAGCGCTCCCATTCCCTTCCCTGAACAGATTTTTGTCACTGACTATGCCAGGACGAAGTCCATCTTCTTCTTTTCTATGTATTATTGCATACTTTGAACCCATATGAACTCCTTAAACTCTCAATCAAGAGAGTGCCTTTTGAGGCACTCCCATGACTCACAGTAGAAAACAAATGGCAAAACTAAGCATGAAGCAGTCTGGCTCCTATACCTGGACATGAAGGCTCCATACAGTGACTCACAGCAGGCTCATAGATGACAGTTAATGAACTTACACTTGCCCTGTTTCTTGTTCTCCTCCATCTCAATCCTGCGTTCTCGGCGGCGTTCCTCCCGAGCCTTCTTCTGGCGCTGACGCTTCCGCTTCTCAATGTCATCTGTGGGTTGGTCAAGCTGTGAGAAAGCAGACCCCGACCACCTACCTGGCCAGTAAATCTTCCCATCTCATAGTAGCTAAGGCCACACTCTTGGGTCTGCCTGGACCAGACAAATGGAGAGTTTTGGGAGGTATGGACTCACAATACATACTATTCCTTCCATCTCTTCTCATACCAGGTTTCCCCAAGTGTCTTTGAATTCCACTGTAAAGAGTACTGAAACAGGCTTTCTCACCTGAAAACATCTCTAGGGTTTCCTTAGAGACCACAGGAGGCTGCAGAGCCAGTTCACAGAGGCTGAACTCACAGGTGAGTGGCAAATGAGAGAGATACCTGTGACGCTGTCGAACATCCTACATTGGAAAAGAGACCATACACAACTAAGGCAAGGCCTAATTCTTGAGCACAGGGTCCCAACCCAGATTTCCAACAGTGTACATACATTCAGACACGCCTGGGATTTAAAATTCACTGCAACCGAGGGGAGAGAACAGGGAAGATGTCAGGGGAGGGACAAAGAGAAGGGAACAAAGGAAGGGAACCACTGACAACCATTAAAAATCAGGTTTCTCCACTGAAACAAGTTTGGCCTGAAACAGTAAAAAAAAAAAAAAAAAAAAAAAGCTCATCAATTCAAGTTTACATTTCTTTTCTATACTTTTTCTGAGTATGTTTGATGGAAAGTCCATAGTACTCAGTGAGGCTTACAGCACACTTGTGAATATAGGGATAATCCCCAAAGGCCCAGAGTTCTCATGTGTAAATTATCAGACCATAATTCAGATAACTGCTATGCTAAAAATGTACTTCAAGCCTATGTAGCCTAGCTTAAAGCGTCATAGGACTTCAGACTTTTTGGAAACTTAAAGATAAGGAGAAAGAAAAACAAAATAAGCTTTGTCATGATTGAAAGGAGAGGATACCTATCTCTCCAAAACTATAAGAATAAAAATAACATGCAGGGGGGTAGTAGAAACCGATTTACAAGAACTCTGACACAGAAAAGAAAACCATGTAACTGTTCTAAAAATTCACAGCATCATCACCAACAAAAGCAGACTTAAAAATAGACAAGAGTACCAGGCACAGTAGTACACTGTATAATCCCAGTACTCTGGGAGGCCAACGCAGAAGAATCACAGATTCAAGCCCAGCTAGCTTGGGCAACTTTAGCTAGACTGTCTAAAAAGAGAAATTAAAAAAATAAATAAAAGTCTGGAGAAATAACTCATTGCAAAGGTGTTGAGTTCAATTCCCAGTACCAAAGAAATAATAAATTTTTTAAAAAATAGAGTTAGAGATATAGCTCAGAGGTAGAACACTTGCCAAGCACATTATCATGTGCAAGGCTCTGAGTTTGAGCTCTGATATCATATACACAAATATTCACAGGATTATGGATTTATGTTGGCTAGACCTACCCTGTGGAGATTAGGTTAATGCTGCTCCCTAATCATCCTCTTTTAAAGGCAGATCCTTACCTCAGACATGGAGTACCCAGCAATCTCTACCACGGTTGCTGAGATCTTCTCTGGACTCTGCTCCAGGCTGCCATACTCTCGCACAAGGCAGCGCACGTTGATGGGGTGCAGGAACATGTGCTGCCCGTCCTCCGCTGAAGACAAAGGCTCTATCACACAACAGTCTCAGGCAGCCCTCAGCATGGCTAGGCCTGCCTCTCCCTGCCCATGCTGAAAGGTACTACGACCCTCCCCGTCAGATCGAGCATTGTGGGAACCCAGCCCTCCTTCTCAGGGGCCCTCACCTTGGTAAAAGTAGTAACAAGGTGAGCTGCTCAGGTGTGTGAAGCCAGGTTTAGTGACAGGTTCCTGCTGGCTGGTCTCAATACAAATGGTCCCCTCACCAAGATTGTCATCTGCTAACTCCGAGTCATCACAGGTCTCTGACAAACCCTCTGGCTCCGGTTCAGACACTACTTCCTCTTCCTCTACTAGAGGGAGAGCAAGAGGGCGAGGAGAGTCCACAGAACAAACTTCCACAGTTTCTTCATCAAAGGCAGACAGATATTCTAGCACACCCTGCTGGAACAAACTTAAGGTCAAAAGACAGTATACATCCTGTTTTCCAAAACTGATGTGGCAAAAGCTCCTCTGAGGTTTGAGTTCTTACGTACATGGATTTAACAGCTCAAGAAATAGGAGACACACAGGAAATAGTCAAACTCCTCTCTTCTCCCAAGAGAGTTCAGATCTCATAAAGGTGCCTACTAGCTCAATGCTGTGGAATGGCAGCAATCTAATCTGTAATGGGGCACACTGACCTTCCTGGGTCGAAAAACAGGCTCTTTCGCCAAGGGAGCCATCAGCACCAGTTGTTCCAGAGCAGATACGACACCGGGGACCTCTTTCCTGCTTTCAGCCAATCCTGATAGAGCCTCTTCCCGTGTCTAAAGCCACCAGAGAGAACACTTTGAAAAAGTTAAGTGCCAAAGACTGAAACAAGGAGACTTGATGGAAAAGGTTTAGTTAGTATTTAAAAGCCTTGCTCTTTGGCCTGAGAATGGAAGACCGGTTCCTTAAAGTGCTTGAGAAAGAAAAAAAAAAACCAATCCCTACTCTGTGGGAAACCAGAAGCAAAAACATCTGATACTCACAAAGGATAGTACTTTGTTTAGATTGGGGGGGGGGGGGGTTTGCTGGGGATTGAACTCATGACTTCAAACTTGCCAAGCAGGCACTTATACCACTGAGCTAAACCCAGCCCTCTTTGCTTAGAATTTTTGACCTTAACAATATTACAAAAAATACTTTGAACAAAAATCCAAGATCATGAAATTAGCCTTCTAGCCAAGTGTGGTGGCACACATCTATAATCCCAGCACTCAGGAGGCTGAGGCAGGAGGACTGTCACCAATGGAGACCAGGTGTAACCACATACAGCTCTGTCTCAAAAAAAAAAAAAAAAAAAAAAATCAAAAACAAAAAAATACTTACCTTGTTTAATTAAAAAGGTATCTAACCTAAGAAAACTTCATTGCCACAACTACTCAAACCATTCTTATCTTTTCCTTTCTGCTCTAGAAAGAGTCTGATTAAACCTAAAGCAGCCCTTCCCTCCCATCACCATACAAACCCAACAGGAGACTGATTATTTTCCAGCCATTCCAGGCATATAAGCTTCAATGAAAGGTTCAAGTAAATGCCCCTTGTATCCCTTTTCCCCAACACAGAGTTGAAAAATTCAGCACCTCTCATTTTGAGTTCCTAACATATCTTCTCTCACCTTGAGCTCCTGGATAGCTGCCTCAATAAAGCAGGACTCAGGAGTGTGCTTCTCCTCTGCCAGTTGCCGCTCCAGGGCAACTTTCTCTTCCAGAACAACACGATGCAGCACCTGCTCCTTAGAGGCCAGCAGCAACTTAGAGTACTGGCTGTGTTGTTCATCTACAAGAAAATCAGCAGATGAAACAAATGCAACAACACTCAAAGCCTGTGATGGTATGGCTAAAAAAAACTTTCTCACGCACAGCCTTTTTTTCTAGTGAAAATCAGATATACAGTCAGGCATGGTGGTAAACACCTATAATCCCAGCACTTGGGAGGCTGAGGCAGGAGGATCGTTGCCAGTTTGAGACCAGCCTGAGCTACAAAGTGAGCTCAAGGCCAGTCCGGACTGCATAAGCGAAATCCTGACTCAAAAAGACAAAAAAAAAAAAGCAAGAAAGGGGTATGTGCTCTAACTTCTTAGATAATAATAGCCTTAAAAGGTTTATAACCCAATACAAGCAGTCTAAATAAAGTCAAATATTTAATTATATAACATTTGTTAATTACAATACTTATGTAATATCAGAAAAGTTGAAACTAATCAATTATGTCTAAAACTAGATGGTTACATAATGGTATATTTAATTTTTATTTTTTTCTGAGATAGGGTCTCATCACATAGTTCAGGCCAGCCTCGAATCTGCAGTGAACCTTCTGCCTTAGGCTTCTAAGTGCTAGGATTACGGGCATGTTCCACCAAAGCCAGTCACAACAGTATATTTATTAAAGAGAATTTTGTGGGCTGTTATCAGTTCTGTCATACCTAGTGACAGAATACCTATACTGTACCAAATACCTATACTGTATATAAAAAAAAAAAATCAGATATCAGACTAACAAAATTAATCCCAATCTCAGAAAAATGTATATATATAAAGTCTACAGTTAACATTTTGGGCACCTCTGGTTTTGTGAAAGGCTCATGGATGGTTTATTTCCTTTACTTCCTTCCCTCATATTTTGTTATTATTATTTTTTTAAACAAAGTTTAAAACAACATTACCTTGAGACCGCCTTAAAATTCTCTAAACATTTTTCAACCTTATCCTGTACTGACAAAGAGGTGACCACTTATAAATTTGAATACATATCCTTCAAATCTTTTTCTACACTTATATGCATATAATTATATAAAAATTTTCATTAATGATAAAATGTTTATCTTTTTCTACAGCTTACTGTCTTAAAAAGGGGGGGGGGCTTTTGGAGATAGGGTCTCCCTGTATAGTCCAGGCTGGCCTCCAACTCACAGCGATACTCCTACCTCAGCCTCTTAAGTGCTGGGACTAGAGATATGTCAGCATATCCGGCATCTTCAAAAAATTCATAATATAGTGATCTATTCCATCCTTACCTTCTATCTCACATTCCACAAAATGATAGAATAACTCCTTTGGAGAACATTTAGGTAGCTTATTCCCAATTTCTCATCAATATACTATAACAACCAAAAAATCCTTACACATGTCACTTGATATAAATTATTTCCTTATAATTTCCATATAAATGTTAACTATTCAGATCATGGTTTTTATTTTTCAGTTTTTGAGACAGGATCTCATTAAGTAGCTCAGTATAGCTTTGAACTCATGGTAATTCTCCTGCCTGGGCTTCTCAAGTGCTGGAATTACAGGTATGCATCACCATGCCAGGCTACTACACAGATCTTTAAATACTACCAAAATGCAAAAAACTGTATATATTTACTCCCACCAAGATTGAGAGCACCTAGCTACTTTCTCAAATTTTGACAAAACCCAGTGTTAGTTATTTTTTTTTTATTGGAAAGTGCCAACCTGATGCACATTTTGACCTACATAACATTTAATCAAGCTAAATCTCTTTACATATAAAGAAGTTACTCTGATTTTTTTAAATATGGAAATGTTATGTCACATGCTTAGCTCATTCTTCTACTAGGTTGCTAACTAACTTTACATTGTTGTGGCTTGACATAACTGACGTCATCTTGAGCCTTGCATTTACTAGTGCTCTGTGTTTGACTCAGAAAAGTGGAAAATTACTCAGGGTATAAGTCCCATGAGAAAAGCAGAATGAGCTGTACCTACAGGAGAAAAATTAACCTGCTCAACAAAGAAGCAGGATACAGGTATCAACTGAAAATTAATGAAAGATTCGAGCTAAACTGTTTCCAACAGGATGTCTTTTGTGATTCTCTGTTTTAAAAACTCTAACTTTTCAGTGTAGTGCCACTTGTTTGGACCCTGAACCAGGGGGGTCTATTTACAAGTGGTCCTGAGTCGGGTAATTAAATTCCAAATTTATCAATTTAGCTGCTTGGATTCCTATATTGTTGTTCACAAACCTATCTCAACATATGGAACACCTCTATGTTCTAGATGTTAATTATTCATTTTAAATGTATAAATCTTCCTCTAGTTTACATGTGTCAACTTTAAGGACTTTTGTCAGGTAAGTTTCATTTTTGTAAAATCAAAGTTATCAATCTCAATCTTCCCTTTTATAGTATCTATAGCCCTAGCCTGGTTAAAACATCCATGTTATGGTTTCTGTCTAGACACTCCTCCCCCACAAAGCCTCAGGCAGTCATAGGTGGAGCTTTTTCAGAAGTGGCTACATCTAGAGTATGTGATGCTGGGAGTAAGGGTATGTTCTTATCAAACCAGTTCACTAATTGGTTTGATGCTATCCTAATCCCAATAGCCTAGATAGAGTACAAATAGGGCAGAAAAGGGCTGCTGAGGTCCCTTGTTTCCTTTGCTACCTTCTGCCTAGCATGAACTATTTCTCCTCTGCAATGCTTGTCTGCCACAACACCCTGTCTTAGAGCCAGCCAGCTCTGGACTGAAATCTCTACAACTGTAAGCCAGGTTAAACCTTTCCTCTCTTAACTTTGGGCATCAGGCATTTTGTCTCAGCAAGGAGAAAAGTAACCAAGACACCACTCATACCAGACCATTTAAAGCCTCATCTCTAAAAATGGACTGGAGATATATCTCAGGGTGAAGGTCCCGAATTCAAATCCCAGTATTGCAACTATATTTTCTTTTAAACATTTGAAAGATTTGAATTTTTTACCTTTAGTTCAAGCTACCATGAAGTAATGTTTATGAATGAAATGAGATACTGTTTCCAGCAAAAACCATCAATTGTTTCAGTATCATTTGAGAAATTTCTTTTCCTCAAAGACTAAATATCACTTTGATTAAATGCTCAACACCACATGGAAAATGGGAATCTAACAGCTCACACTTTCCCTACTGTAAGCACTTATTAACACTTCATATCCTGATGGCCTGTAACTGTCTCTTCTATTAGACTGCTGTGCCCTTTATGATAGGTAGCAAGGCTGGCTGACTGTGTAATCCCCAAGACTGGACACGATGCAAGACAATGTTCAACAAAACCTGGTAAAATGAAAAAATTAAGGTACACAGATTAAGTATAACTGAACCGAACCTGAAACCAGGAGTTAAAACACTCTGTAAACTTCATTCTTTGTTTTGTTTTGTTTTTGGTCTTTTTCCTTTTTATCGGTACCAGGGATCGAACTCATGACTGCCTGCTTGCAAGGCAGGTGCTTATGCCGCTGAGCTAAATCCCCAGCCCCTGTAAACTTCATTCTAACCCAATGGAATCTTAACTAACTTGATCACACTAGAACTTAGCTAGAATACACTAGAATTCAGCCTTGTCCAAAGGCTAAATTTGACACTACAGAGATATATTCAATAGACTAACAGCTGTATTCAGGATTATCTGTCCCAAAATTTAACTGAACTTACCTCCCAGATGAATAGGATGGTCTACATTCATCCACTTGGATTTGGGCAAGGCCACCAATACTCCTTTCTCTCTCTTCATCAGCTGCATCGTAATGGTATCACCGACGACATACTGGCGTGACTCTGTGGCAACAACACTGTAACACAGACACTTAGATGAAGCAAATCAAGATCACAGACTGGGGTCTAACCTAGTAGCTGTCTCTGTCTCACCTCTTGAGATCCTTCTTATGCACAGAACTGTAACAGATGGGACATTTACTCCAGGTCTTCTCACTCAATGAAAGATAATGCAGGATGCATGCCCAGCAGAAAATGTGTCCACAACGGGTTATCTTGGCTGCAGTAGGTGGATAGAGGCATATTGGGCAAGATGGCACTTCATGGCTACAGATACGCTGCAACAAAATGGCATCACAGTTTCACAATCAACTAGAGGTAGTCAAAGTTAAAAGTCTCTTCTCCTCTCTCATTCCCACATGCTCTTCTATTTCTATAAAACTATTTAACACACATGTAAGAATGACAGCACTTCACACAAGTTCTTAAGGAAACCATGATAATGGTTTAATAAAATAAAGCAAATTTTTTTTTTTTGTCTTTTTCCTGTTTATCGGTACTGGGGATTGAACTCATGACTGCCTGCTTGCAAGGCAGGCACTTATGCCTGCTGAGCTAAATCCCCAGCCCCAATAAAGCAAATACGTTAACAAGTGTTTGGGGGGTTCTACATTAAAGGAAAAAAATGATAGAAATCCTACGAACCCACTTACAAAAAACATTTCACATGTACATATAAAGGCATAAAAAGGTGTTCAAAAGTAACCTACCAATGATTTTTGACAAAGTTAAAAACTTTTACTTTATGTATAACTGTTTTCCAACCGATGCATATAAAACTTAAGTTATATAGGCTTTCTATGTCATTATTAGGGGACTTCATAAATTTTTACAATAATGGCAATCCAAGCTTTGGGACCCAAAAATTCCTACTAGGAAGTATAAAAAGGAAAAAAGAGGAGAGAAGTATAAAAGAGAAAGGGATGGTATCATTTTGAAAATTATTCTTCATCAGATACCCTTTTGGGATCAGCAAAGAGATTCTAAATGGAGTTCATGACTTCAGTAGAAAACAAATACAGCAGTAACTTTGATACTGGTTACTAAAAGGATTGCTTGGGGCTGGAAATTTAGCTCAGCAGCATAAGCACCTGCCTTGCAAGCATGTGGTCGTGAGTTCGATCCCCAGTACCAATTTTAAAAAAAGGGGGGTGGAGGTTTGCCAGTGGAGCAATATCCACATAACTGAATCCTCCTAGTTAAGATAGTGATGGTCCCTCAGAGTCCCTGGCTACCACTTCCCAGGAGAGGGCGCTGGTAGTTATGACTTCGTACACAAACTCAAACCAGATGCTTCCATCTCTTCCCTGCAGAAAAGTGCCAATTAGTTACACAAAACGAACTCCAGGAGGAAACAGGGACTGACCTCTGGGAAATGTCTACCATAGTAAGGCTAGACAGAAAAAGGAATTGGCAGTAACACGGCCAACAGCTGCTCTGTCACCATCATCTTTTTTTAGTTTTATCTCTCACCAACAACTTCAAAGTTGGGTTGAGCTACTCACCACTTGTTCCACAAAGTCCCAGTTGACTAAGGTATCAGGATCAGCAAAATGAGCTGTGTAGTCTTGGTCTTCGGACACCACAAATTGGCAGCTACAAATAATGAGAAAAAAGGAAAAGAGCAGACTGTCAGAATCACATTAGCCCTCAGCAGAAATTCATCTCTTCACTTAGAATTTAAAAACAGGCCATAACAGCCATGATTTGTAAAGTACTACACTAAAACTTCAGCCCCTGTTCTGAGCCTGGCTCTGGAAGGGTTCCAGACTCAGAGGGAAGCAGTCCAAATCCATGAACTGTTTCTTCTGTTTCCAAGCCCAGCCAAGTTCCCAATTGGTCTCCCTTGAACTAAAATTAACTGAGACTATGGTTCCCTCAACCAACAAGATTTCCTCTCACCACCCTAGAGCCCCAGAACATGGCTAGTCTTCAAAGCTGTAAAAAACTGTTCTCAAAGAGCTGAGGTCAGTTTATGTAAGGTACATAATGCTTGCTTCAGTGCAGATCCAAGGTCAAATTGTACAACTCATACTACACAAAAGGAAACAAAAGGGAAGCCAAGTATGGTGGAGCACACCTGTAGTACCAGCTACAATGGGAAGCTGAGGCAAGTGGGTCACAAATTCAAACCTAGCCTCAGCAACTTAGCAAGACCTTGTCTCAAGCTAAAATTAAACAGAACAAAACACAACCGACTGGGAATGGAGTTCAATACATTCCTGTAGCGGTTTACAGAGAACCTCATGGCATCTTACCTACCCAGAGAGTAGTTTCAATTTCACTTCCCCCACAGTAGCAAAAGACTCACTTGGCTTGTAGAAAGAGTTCCTTGTTAAAAGGCTTATGTCCCCACTTGTTCCTTTTTCCCCAGCTGCCATGTCCACTGCCTTCAAAGTGACCTGCTTGGCCACGTGGTTCAAAAGTGAAATTCAACAAGTGGTTCAGGTTGATCTTCTTAGGACCAGAGAACTGGGCAGGGCTAAACTCTGCCCGTTGAGCCTCTGCTACCTACAGAGAATGAAAACATTTTAGAATAGGACAACACTTAGCAATTTTCAGCAAAACCAGCACAAACCCTCCTCTGAAATGGCTCAAATATTAACTAAAAACATAGTCTTAAGGTGAACAATCTTTCTAGGATAGGATAATACAAAAGCCTATCCAACAACACCTTATGGGAGTAAAGAGGGGAAAACAGCTTCTATCATCCCTTTAAAGTCTGTTCTGCTAAATGACAAATAATGATTAAATGACAATGCCTAACAGAAACTGCCTTAGCTATTGTAAAGCACAAAAGATGTACTCACTATTAGGATTAATAATTTCTCTATATGCCCGTAGGAATTCTGGTACATTTTTACTTTTTATTTTTTCCGCTAGTGCCAGGCATCAAAGCAGAGGCCCTATGAATCCTAAGCAAGCACTGGGCCTGTTAGCTAAACATCCTAGTCCTACATCTTTTTTTTTCTTTTTCATTTTTATCGGTACCAGGGATTGAACTCACGACTGCACACTTGCAAGGCAGGCGCTTATGCCACTGAGCTAAATCCCCAGCCCCCTCTTCATTTTTGATAGCTACTTATTTTTTGGCAAACTAAGTCTGAAGTGGCCTGAAAGTGGCAAGTGCTAACTACCATAGGTTTATGGATCCTGCTACAGACCTCCCATCTCAGACATACAGGTAAGTAAAACTGATAATCAGAAATATGCAGGCAGGCTGGTTTATGTCCAGAAATAAACCCAAATCAGCAATGCAGAAAAAGTTTAGAAAGTACAAAGAAACTATGAGAAATAGCACTGCATACAAAGAACAGACGTCCGTGTGTATTTCAATTTTCAACAAGAGTCAGCTTGATCACTTCTCAGTCTCAGTTTCCCATTTAAGTTTATACACACTCCATAGTATCACTAAATGCTGGAACGCTATCACTTTGAATGACCACATCAATGGCGTAACATGGGCACACCATATTTTAATGTTCTATGATAAGGACTGGTTGTAGTTTTTCTTCTGTTAAAAGATAATGTCTCTCTTTCTCTCTGTGTGCTTCCCACCACCACAGGTATCATGAGGTGCTTCTCCTCTACCATGCTACCTTGCGTTGGAGCCAGCTAACTATGAACTGAAACCTTTACAAACTAAGCTAAAATAAACTCCTAAAAAAAAAAAAAATGTTGGGCTGGGGATTTAGCTCAGCGGCATAAGAATCTGCCTTGCAAGCAGGCAGTCGTGAGTTCAATCCCCGGTACCGATAAAAAAAAAAAAAATATGTTATGAAGTCAGGTATGGTGGTACACACTTGCAGGCCCAGCACTCAGGAAGCTGAGGCAGGTTGCTATGTGTGTGAGGTCAGCCGGGGCTACATAGTGAGTTCAAGGCCAACCTAAACTACACAGCAAAACCCCATCTCAAAACAAAAACACACAAAGACCATTGCTCTGATAAACATTTGTGGCTAGAACTTTATGTACAATACTTAGGGACATGCTTTTTTTCTTTTTGAGACAGGGTCTTCCGCAGTTCAGGCTGACTTTGAACCTGTTTTAGTCCTTCTACCTCACCTTCCCAAGTGCTGCAAGGAATGCGCTACCATGTTTGGCTGCAATTCTTTTCTTTTTTTTTTCCTTCCTTTCCCTCTTTACCCCTGGCTCCTTTCTTGTGGTGCTAGAGATCAAACCCAGAGTCTCACACACATTTTATCTAGGTGCTTTACAATAAGCTACTCCCACAGCCTCTAATTATAAACCTCAGTTCAGGAGCACTTTTGTTTGCCAACAATTTGGTTCACAAACAGAAGTGTTTGGCAAAATTTTGATTCCGTTTGCAAACTCTGCATCAGGTGACAAATGTGATTGTGGTCATCTTTCCCACATGAACTTGAACATGGCTATCTTTTCTAGAATCATGGAACAAATTAAGTTTGTGAACTGAGGTACTATTGTATTTCTTTTGAAAGTACAGAAGAAATTACTAGGCCAGAGTAAATGCAAATATAAGGGGTTTTGGCTGCGTGGTCAAATCTGGAGAATTTCTTAAATACCACTTGCAAATGTTGTTAAAAAAAAATCTAAGGAGTAGTGGGCATGGTGGTGCAGGCCTATTATCCCAGCACTCTGGAAGCTGAGGCAGGAGAATTGAGGATCTGTGAATTTGACGTCAGCATGGGCTACATAATGAATTTAAGACCAGCTTGAATTACAGAGCCAGACAGGGTCTCAAAACCCAACAAAAAATAAGCACAATTAAGAGGAGGAGGGAGTGAAAGTATAAAAAGGGATACAGTGTGTATGTGTTGGGCCCAGTGACATACACTTGTATTCGCAGCTCCCTGGCAAGCTGAGGCAGGATTGCCAAATTCAAGACCAGCCAGGTCAACTTAGTATGACCTTGACTTAAAATTAAAAGGAGAGAGGTACAGTTCAGGGATTCATGGGTTCAATTCCCAGTACAGCAGGAATAAAGAAAAGGCAGGTGGATATAGGGAAAGGTGCCTTCTATTGAGGCAATAAATATGCTGAGACATTCTGTGTATACAGAATCATGGTACAAAATAAATACAACCCATGGCACAACATATAGATAAACAACTTCCTTTTTTTACTCTTAAAAATAGATGTTGAGCTTGTTCCACATCACTTATGTAAGTCACCACAGGAAGCCCAAGACTTCCAGGTCATCCCTTTTCTCTCATACTCCAGAAAACAGTGGTGGCAAACCTTTATACATGTGCCATAGCAAGCTGTTTGTATTATTGAAAGCATGTCCTTGTATGGCTCTCATCTCCTCTAATCAGCTTTCTCTAACTTGTATCTCAAACTTGGTTCCAAGAGCTATCCTCAATCAATAAAACTCCCCACATTTGTCAAGCTTTTGTTTCCACTTATCCTAACTGGCCACTGTCACTGTAATGTCATATACGTACATACATACATACATACATTTATTTATTTATTTTGTCTTTCTGAGAGAGGGTCTCACTCACTACGCAGTTCAGGCTGGCCTTGGGCTCACTTTGTAGCCCAGGCTGGTCTTGAACTCGCAATGGTCTTCCCAAGTGCTGGGACCACAGGCGTGTGCCACCATGCCCAGTTGTAACATCACCTATTATAATTCCTGGCTCTCTTTCCAATACAATGATCCTTTACTAACTTGATCCTCCTTTTGGTGGGATGCAGAGAGGAAGTACTTGGGGCTGAAACCTTTATGTTGAGCTACATTTCGAGATCATTTTTACTTATTGAGATCATTTAGGATCTCAGTAAGTTATCCAGACTGGACTGAAGCTTGCAATCCTCCTGCCTCAAATTCTCAGATTGCTAGGATTTCAGGTGTGTGCTATTACACCCAGCACCCATCTTAATTTTTAGCATCAAATTAGGAGATTTTTAGTAAGCAACATTTAGTATCCAATCAGAAATTCTGCTCTCAGGTTAAGTCTAAATTCCAACAATTCTTTATCCACATCTAGCATCTCCAAACTAGTGATCCAATCCCTCTACTCCCATCCCCATCCCAATTTACTTTTCTTATTTGGCTTAGATCCTGTGGTCCACTACTTTGTCTTTTATCTGCTATTTCACCTTATAGTTTTGTTTTGTTCTGGTACTAGGAATTGAACTCAGAATCTCACACTTGCCAAGCAGGTGCCATGCTGCTGAGCTATATCTCCGACCCTATATTTACATTGTGAAACCTTCCCCTCCACAGCAGCCTCAAGAGCAGTGAAAAACAGCTAACTGACATGTCCACATAACCAGTATCACTAATGCGGTCCCCTCTGGCTGCCCAGGAGCCACACTGAAACCCTACCATACTTCCATGGTCCATGCATTCCCTTTTTTCCCCAGACAACTTCTTCATTCCTTAAGCTCCCAAGCCACTCTTCTCAATTCACTTCAAATATTTAATTGGAAAAAAATATGCGCAATCAGAAAAGAACTCCAACAACCCCGCCACCAAGCCCTCCCTTGGTTACTTTGGATGAGGATGAACTGGCAAGACGAACTCCTTCACTAGACTGCAACATCCATCTTTTCCCCTCTGCCCTGCATCACCTTCTCCCTGTCACCACAACCACAATACTAGCAGACACCATGCCGTGTCTTTCCTAATCATAATCCCTCTTGAGTGCATGGTCCCATCAAGCTGTTGGTACACCTCTCTAACCCTTCAGAATAAAGTCACTAAGAAAGTATGGTTTCTTTTTCCCTTTCTCCCATTCTCTCTTTAATCAATGCCCATCAGTTTTTTGCCATCACTTCAAAAAAGTTAACTCAGCACCAATGATCTATCTTCACATTCTTGAATCCAAAGGTCAGTGTTTGGTCCTATTCTTTTTTTGGTTTTTTGAGACAAGGTCTCATTATGTAGATCAGACTGGCCTTGCACTCACTGTGTCTATAGCCCAAAGTGGGCTTGAAGTTGTGATCCTGTAGCCTCAACCTCCCAGAAGGCTGGGATTACAGGTATGTGCCACCATACCTGGCTATTTCCAGGTCTCAGTACAGCAATCACAGTGCCAAGTAGGTGAGAATACTTGCAGGGCTAGTGCAAGGTTCTTCAGAAGGCTGTACAGTATATGCTTTGAATCAGCATCCACTATATGGTAGTGTTTCTCCCATAGCCTAGAAATCCACTGGGTAAAAGTGGCAATGGTACTTGCAAAGTGGGTCTAGAAATCCACTGGGTAAAAGTGGCAATGGTACTTGCAAAAATTCTGCTTCCTGTTCCTGCAACTTTATGCTCAAATAGCCTAGGAGTCTTAGTTCCAGAAGGAGGAAGAGTAGTACCAGAAAACACAATAATGATCCTACTGAACTGAAAGCTTAAGACTTTCCCCTCTAATTATTTTGGGCTTCTCATGACTGAGTAAAATAGCTAAAAAGGGAATTACAATGTTGACAGGGATGACTGATCCAGACTACTAAGGGAAAACTGGATTATTACTCCACAAGACAGGAAAGGAAGACTGTATTTGAAGTGTAAGAGATCCCTTAGAGTGCTAGCTAACACTGTCAGGCCTTGTTATTAAGGTCTGGATAACTATAACAACCTAATCTAGGGAGGATGACAAATGGTGCAAAACTTTCAGGAATGAAAGTATACATCACAACATCAGGTGAAACACCAAGAGCTGGGCTGCGGATTTAGCTCAGCAGCATAGCACCTATCTGGCAAGCACAAGGTTGTGAATTCAAGCCCCAGTACCAAAAAAAAGAACCAAGAGCTGCTGAGGTGCTTGCTAGTTTTTGTCTTCATTTTCTACCTCTCCTTCAATGATAGGAGCCTACGAGCTTTACTTCAAAGATACCTAAACACTGCAACCTTGAACTCCTTGCACTTCTATGCCTTCTAACATTCTTTCTCTACAGTATTCCCTTGCTTCATCATGTCAAATCCATCTCCACAGACAAGCATCCCTTAGCCACTTTCTAAAACTACTTCTGCCAGGGATTTAGCTCAGGGGCATAAGCATCTGCCTGGCAAATGTGAGGTTGTGGGTTCAATCCCTGGTACAAAAAAAAAAAAAAAAAAAAAAAAAAAAAAACCTACTTCTGGCTGCCCATTGTGGCACACACCTATAATCCAGCACTCAGGAAGCTGAGGCAAGAGGACTGCTGCAAATTCAATGTCACCCTAGGACACACAGTGAGTTCAAGGCCCCCTTGCATATTCAGTGAGGCCTTGTCTCAAAGAACAGCAAAAGAAAAATTTCATTTCTGGGTTTGACTCAGTAAGAGATCATTTGTGTAGCATATTAGCATATTTGAGGTCCTGGATTCAATCCCCAGCACCACAAAAACAAACACAAGGCAAATTTAAAAATGTACTCCTTACTCTTTATCCCTTTTCCTCCCTCCATGTATATTTTAAATTTTTTAAACCAATAAGCATTTATCATCAAATTTACTATATAGTGATTTATTGTCTCTCCAAACTAAAATGTAAGCTCCTGAAGGACCAAAACAATGTTCTATTTAATGCCATATTCCAAACTACTAAATGATATTTAGTGAGCAAATTTTTACATGATTGCATCCATTTAAGTCTTATTCTACAATAGTTATATAACTCTGGACCATTAACAAAACAGGATAGCTTGCCTTGCAAGTGTGAAGTCATGAGTTGATTCCCAGTACCAAAAAAATAAAAAAGCAAGATAATTTCACCTGTCTCTTATTGGTAGGCATGTAAGTTGTTTCCAAAATTTTGTAGCTATAAACACACTTATACATGAAAAATCCTTACATACTTACAGAAATACATCTAAGAAAGTCCAGGTAAGATATCTGTGACTAAGGATATAAGCATTTTATATTTTGCTAGAGTCTAAGGCGTATTAACATCATTTTGACTTAAAATATGCCAAATGGTACCTAAAAGTTCTATACAAGATACCCACTGTTGCCATAATTTTTCACAACCAGCAACAAGAGTATCTTCTTCAAGCAGACGAAAAAAGCAAGCAAAGTTCTAGACCTAGTTAATCCTCTACTACTTAAGACTGATTTTATGACCTATTCTTCCACTTGTTGTTTGCCCTCCCCCAGGTACTAATAAATACAAAAGAGGGAAAAAAATCAAATCTTGTACATATGTTCTCATATGAACATTTTTAAATTTCATACCTCATCTCGTCTTCCACCATTAAAAGAAGAGCTAAAGAGTTTGCTGCTGCCGCCACCCCTTTGAGGAGGCATCTTATTAAAAGTTTTGCTTTTCTGTGCATTGGAGCGACGGGACTGGTTGCTAAAATTTTCATTTTTGGGGTAGGAAGGTTCACGCTTGCGATTATAACGCTTTGATCCATTTGAGTTCTTTCCATCTGAAAACAAGAAACACAAAAGAATTAAGATACTTTGTGTATATATGTGTGTATGTATATGTGTACATATAAAATATACATTTGACCCAATTTCTCTCCCACCTATTTGCAAAACTAGGAAAATGGGCCTTTCACCACCTCTGAGAAATAAAGAGTTTAGGCCACAACAATAGCGCTTTGAGTAAAACAATCCATAGTAAAGTGATTCCTTATTTTGTTTTAAATGTTGCCTTAGAGGCTGGGTATTGCGTTGCACAATTGCAATCCCAGTATTAAGGAAGCTAAGGCAAGAAAATTGCTGCAAATTCTAAGCCAGCCTGGGCTACAAAGTGAGTGCTAGGCCACTCTGAACTACATAATAAGAACATTGTGTCTCTAAATAATGCCTTAGAGGTCTGAAAGGTCCCTCTCAAGGAAAATACAATAGATAAAACCACCCAGACTCTCAGTTCACAGAGTATCTTTTTTTTTTTTTTTTTTTAACAGAGTATAAGCACTGCTCTTGCAAAAGTTCATTCAGATAAAGTAACAGGAAAGGAAATAGCCATTCTATATTAGGAAAAAGTATTTTAGCTGAATCTAAGGCAGAAAACTTTTTTTTTTTAATTACTATAGAAGAGCCAGATTCTGTACTGCAAGGGGCTGGACCAAGCAGCCCAACTGTGTAACTGTGTGTGTGTCTGTGTGTGTGTGTGTGTGTGTGTGTGTGTATAAAAATAATGATGTATTGTCAGGTGTGGTGGCTCGAGCCTGTAATCCCAGTACTCGGGAGGCTGAGGCAGGAGGATCGTTGTGACTTCGAGACCAGCCTGGGCTACAAAGAGTGAGCTCAAGGCCAGCCTGAACTGCATAGCGAGACCCTGTCTCAAAAAGGACAAAAAAAAAAAAAAGATTTATTATGTACATAATATATGCATATGTAGTCAAAATGCATGTTCTACAGGCTAAGTTGAGAAGCTGATAAATTGACAGAAAAAAACAGCTTCAGGGAACATTAGATCACTAAGAGTTACATTCTTCTAAAAAGTATGTTTTAAACTTAAAAAAAAAAGTCTTAAAGAGCAGTTGAATGGAGGGAAAGGCAACGGGAAAAAAGAAGCAAGGTAAATCCCACACAGGAATAAATTCCCTATAATGAATGTTACTATTATGTATAGCTAAAATGTACCCAAAAAAAGGTCTTAGCCAGGCATGGTAAAACACATTGAAATCTCCAGACTAGGAAAGAATGAGTTGGAAGATCACAAGTTTCCAGTTCCAACTGGGGAACTTGGCAAAGAACTTGTCTCAAAACAAAAAATAAAAAGCACTGGAGATGTAGCTCCATGGCACAGCAACCTCGAGTCGGTCTCTAGCACTGCCGAAAAAAAAAATTCTGCTTATTTCTTCAACTACAAATAAGAATACACGTTCAGTTTTTTGAGGTTTTTGTGCGTGTGTGTGTGTGTGTGTGTGTGTGAGAGTGCTGGGGATTGAACTCATGTCTCATGCTTACAGGCAGGTACTTATGCCACTGAGCTAAATCCCCAGCAATATTCAGTTTTCTGTTTTTTTGTTTTTTTATCAGTACTGGGGATCGAACTCTTGACTGCATGCTTGCAAGGCAGGCGTTTATGCCACTGAGCTAAATCCCCAGCCCCATATTCAGTTTTGAAATTATGAAAGAATTAGATTGCCACTAGGTAGAAACACCCCAATCAATAGTGTTCAATTTCCTTTTTGTACACTTGTCAGATAACTTCTACAAAATATACTATATTCCTGGATGTGGTAGCACATGCCTATAATCCAGCACCCCAGAAAACTGAGACAAAAAGACCACAAGTCTGAGCCCAGCCTGGGCAATTTAGTAAGACTCTGGCTCAAAAAAAAAAAAAAAGAAAGAAAGAAAGAAAGAAAAGAGTTGGTAATGTAACAGTGCAAAGGCCAAGTTCAAGCCCCAGTATTACCAAAAAGAAAAAAACATTACTGCATACTGCCTTTTGTTATATTCATAAGCATTGTCATACATTTCCAAGTCTTCCAAAGCATAATTACTGGTTGTACTATTGTCTATCATACATTATAACATAATATAACTATAATTCTCTATTGTCACATTTACTTATTTATATTTTTGGTATTGGGGATCAAACTCATCATTCTGCATGGCTAAGCTAAATCCCCGGCCCTACTGTTGCATATTTAAATAGCCAATTTTTTTCTAGTTTAATGAGAATGCCAAGTTTTATACAGAGACCTAGTATATCAAAATTATCAAAATGAATTAGCTCAGCAGCTCACTTTTACACATCCTCAAGTTACTTCCTAGAACTATTACACCTATTTTTTAAACTTTTTTGAGTAATGGTCTAAATTGGTCTCAAACACAATCTTCCAGTCTCAGTCTCTAAAAATCCTAGGATTATTTGTGCATACCACCATGCCATGTATGACATTCTCATTTATAATACATTCTCTCTCCCTCTCTATGCTCTTCCAGGATAAACTGAGCCAGGTGTGGCAGCACATGCCTGTAATCTCAGCACTCTGCAAGGCAGAGGCAGGTGGATTATAAATTCAAACCCAGTCTGATCAATTTACAGACGCTGTCTCAAAACTTTAGAAAGGACTGGAAATGTAGCTCAGTGGAAAGGCTCTGGATTTAATCCTCAGTGCCAAAAATCACTTTGAAAGAAAGAAAAAAGACAAGACGAGAGAGAAAGAAAAGACAAGAAAAGGGAGAAGGATAGAGATCAAGATCTACTTCATGCTATTGCTATTACTGAGTTAAATGTCAATAAACTTAAAAGGCCAAAATGGTTTTGAATTTTAAATCTAAATTTCTCTGAGAACTAGAAACAAATGCTTTTGAGTCTGTTGACCATTTGTTGACTATTTTTTTTATGAAGAGCCTGTTTGTATTCTTGCCCTTTTTCCAACTGAACTGCATAATTTTTTGGTCCCAAATTGAACAAAGAATTCTGACTAGCACACTCAGCAAATGCCAAAATTTATCAGTTAAAAAAAAAAAAAATGCAGCAGGGTACAGTCAGTGGTGAATGCTTTACTTCCAGCACTTGGAAGGCGGGGGCAGGAGAACTGCTGCCAGTTCAAGGCTAGGCTGGGCTACATCACACTGAGTTCGAGGCCAGCCTGAACTATATACCAAGACCCTGCCTCAAACAAAATAAATCACAACAAAATGGCAAAAAAAAGCGCAAAATAAAAATCTAAGAACTATACAGCCACATAAAAGGTTCCCAATTTATTTCATGTCTTTCATAATATCAAAATCTGATCAAGTCAGTCTGTACATTAATTTAATGGCTTAAAAGCAAAACTTTTAACACTTGGGAGGCTGAAGCAGGAGGACTGCTGCATGCTCAAGGCCAGTCTGGGCTATAAAGCAACACTCTTATATTTAAAAACAAGTAAGGGCTAGCAATATAGTTCAGCGGCACAGTGCCTGCCCAGCAAGCACAAGTTCCTAAATTCGATTCCCAGTACCAAAAAACAAGTAAAATAAATACAAACAAAAAAGAACAAAGAGCAAAAATTTAGGAGAACTTGCTTTTTTCTTTCTTTTTTTTTCCTTTTTAAAAGATGGTTATCCAGGTTAGTCCTGAATTGCTAGGCTCAAGCAATCCTGCCTCAGCTTTCCAAGCTGCTGAGACTGAAGGTCTACAACACTGCACTCGGCTTCAGGCGGGGAACTTTTCATGAAGTAATTCATTAGGTTTATCTCAAACTTTGGTTTTAGTTTTATGAGATGAGATCTTCCTATGGCCTTATCTCTCCCTGACCCTCCTTTTTTTTTTCTAGGTAAGGAGGAATAAAACCCAGCACCCTGGAAAACTGAGACAAAAGGACCACAAAAAGTTTGAGCACTGCCTGGGCAATTTAGTAAGACTTTGGCTCCAAAAAAGAAAAAGAGTTGGTACTGTAACAGTGGAAAGGCCAAGTTTAAGCCCCAGTATTACCAAAAAGAAAAAACATTACTGCATACTGCCTTTTGTTATATTCATAAGCATTTTCATATATTCCCAAGTCTTCCAAAGTATAATTCTAGTTACACAGACTTAAATAGTTCAGGTTGAAATTCAACTGATTAAGTAGCCTAGGTTGGCCTCTGTCACCGTTTATGTCGATGGCCCCCAGGCCTAATGTGATTACATATGCATTTGTAATTGATTAATTGTATAGCACTTGGATTGGGGTGTGAGTGCTACAGGGCCTAGGGGTGGAGCCATGTAATGCAATGGCAGGAAGAATTGCTCTTTTTCCTGTTTCCTTCTTGCTGTTTGCAGCCACCATAAACTGCAGCCCAGCCATGCCACCCTGCCTTGGAGCCAAGTAAATATAGACTAAAAACTCCAAAAACTGTAAGAAATAAACCTTTCCTTTCCCAACTTGAGCTTCAGGTATTTTGTCTCAGCCAAAAGTAAAAAGTAAGTAAGACAAAATTTGGTACCAGGAGTGCGATCCTTTGCTGTGACTATACCTGACCATGTTTTTCGAGGCTTTGGAAATGGCTTGTGGGCAGAGTTTAAAAAGGTTGGGACATATCACCTGGATGCAAAGAGCTGGAGCAGCTTAGACTATTCTGTAGCAGAGATTCTGGTCAGAGCTCAGGAGACCAGAAGGCTAATAGCCTGATGCTAAAGACCAAGTTTGAGAGGTTTCTGCTGAGGAAGACTGCATTGGTTGTTGGGCTCCACATGACGGGTGTTATGGTTTTGCAGAAAGTTTGTCTGCCTTTTGCTCATGCCCAGAGACTTTGCCTGAGACTGACACAAAGGGCAATGGACTGATTAATCTGGAAAAAGAAATTTCAAAGCAGTCAAATGTTGAGGCTGTGACATGACTATTGTTGGGGGATTTTAGCCAGCTTTGTTACAAATCAAGAGCAAAGAGCCCAGCAGGATAATTTACAACTCTGTAAATTTGGCCAGAAGGAAAATTCCAGGAAAGCTGTGGATTATAAAGACAGGGTTGAGACTTTGATTGCTGAGAAAAAA